AAAACCCTTGGTCTCACATGATCCCAAGTCTAATATATATATATATATATATATATATATATATATATATATATATATATATGTTTTTATGTTTTAAAAGGAAACAAGTAAAAGGACCACCATATTATCCTTGTTTTGAAATAACAATATTAAGTGGAGTTAGGACAAAGGGATTTAAAACGTAACAAAAGAGAAACCATAAAATGATTGTACATGTAATTATTTCGCTTGGGGAATCCAATTTGAAATTTTCAATAACCACAAAGACGAAATCTACAATTTACTCTAGAAGTTATATACACAGGAGGTAGATATAGATATAGATATATGTATATGTAGTACCAAATAGAGATGATCAAAAATCGGTCCCGGTCCCTGTCCCTGTCCCGACCAAAAACCCAAGGCCCGATTAATGTACTTTGTAACCGGTTATGAGAATTGGTCCAGTCCCTATCCCGGGCGAGGCCCAACCAGCCCTATTCTTTTTTTAAAAACGACTTTTTGCATAATCTTCTAAGTCTTTTAAAGAATACAAAATGTTATTCTAATACATTTGGAAATATGTATTTGGATCAATTAAATACACTTAAAAATACGTTTTTTTGCGAGAATACGAGCCAAAATCACGAATTATAACAAGAATTGTGAATGTTTGTGAGTTGATATCTTTTCCTATACACTATATGACTTATATATAGTGAACATAGGATAAATGAGACAAAAAATAATCAGAAATAGAAAGAAAAAAAGCGGTCATCTTTTGTGTATTGATAATAAAACGGTAATGTTTTTGAAAAATTGAGTCCGTTTGACGAAAACTATAACCGGACAGCTGATCCCAATCGATCCCAATCCTCCACCGTTCCCATTTGCCATCTCTAATATCAAAGGTGACATTTTGATGAATTCTATATCAACATCATTTAAGTTATATATGCATATTAATTGTTGAAACTTGAAAGCAATCCGTCGGTACCAAAATCATTAATTTTAATTCAAATTGATAATAAGTGGGTTAAAAATGTATTTTCGGTCAATTGTGACATCACAGCCAATTTCAACATGTATCTACATCATTTATTTATTTATTTTGATTAACTTGGATATTCAATCCATTATGCGAGCCGATTAATCACAAGACGACCACCTGTTTTGCAGATAGCCCGGAGTCACCGTATTTGAACATCCGTGGCCACAAGGAAATTTTTATTTCTCCTTGGATTTAAACTTGGGACCTCCTGATACGTTTTATCTTTGTAGCCAAACTCAAACCACTCAAACACTATCCTTATACATTTCGAAAGGTCTTGGGAACAAAGATCACAAAAAGGTCCAATTTTATAGATGGATCCAAATGTTAAGTGGATTAAGACATGTATTTGGAGTCAAGATCCAAATGTTAAGTGGGTTAATACCCAATGTATTGCTCTTCTTATGAAAATTGATATAATGCATCTCATTAATATTGATCTTTAATTATGATTGATATGATGATCCTTTTTTACCCTTCTCACCTGGACCCAACCTTCGAATGTTTAGACATCATCATTTGACTACGGATTTAAGCCATAACACACAGTTTACTTCAAGGACCATTATGTGTGTATGTGTGTATATATATATATAAACATAAATATATTAGCGTTATATATAAAATATGGATTGAATAAAGGAAATTATCATCAGATACTTGTATACAAAAATTCAAATCATGACCATACTTATTGATTATATATCTCTCTATATCATCCTTCCTCAACCACGGAAAACATAGGTCGCAACATCACATGCCCTTTTTATAACCTCCTCCGACCAAATCTTTGCCCTGCACCAACCAACACTACTTTCCCTATGGCTCCCGTACGAACTCCACAAACCACCGCCACTGCCAAACCCACCGCCAACCACCGCCAGTCCACTCCACCTCCGCCACCACCCACATTGCCATTGTCATTGCCATTGCCGCCTCTTGTGCTGACGTCTCCGGTTTTTTGCTCTCCAGGCACCGACTCGACACCACCGTCGAAGGAAATCTTGGTGGCGATTGTTGCCATTAGCGCACATCTCGAGATGGATGCGTCTTGTTTCCGTGCGTTCTGATAAGCTCGGAAGCCACCATGCAGCTTCTTCACGGTTCCCCACATTCCATGACGGACGCCTAACTTAGCCACATCTCGAGGGATTCCCATGTCTTCACAATGCAACAGTATTACTTCACATGACGAAAGCACTCCGTCTCCTTTTCGGGATTGCACTGTATTCAATTTACACATATACCAATCAGCATAACACTTAATTCACAACTCGATGCATAAATCCCATCTTCTCTACTCCCTCGGTCCCAAACTACTGTGTTCTTTATTAGCATCCTATTTTTTGTATTTGTATTTCTTATTGTGCCTTTTGATGCAGTTATTAATGTTTCCTTGAAAACTAAATACAATTAAAAGTAATTTGATCGACATTCAATTTCAGAAAATGACAAGTAACAGAGGACGGATGGAGTACTTACCAGGCCTGATCACCCAGCTCGAGAAGTAATGGTCAACACGCCTCGGCTTGTCACGCCGCCGCAGAGCTGGATACGGCACTCCCTGCACCAATGTAGCTTCATATAACATCTAATATAGCATCCTCGGTAATTAACAAATGCACCGGTCAACAAAGATACGATTAACATAAGGATGAAATGCAAGAGTGTTTAACCTGGATATCCAATCCACTACGCAAACCAACTAATCCCAGGGCGACCACTCGCTTCGCGGGTAGCCCGGAGTCACCGCATTTGAACCTCCGTGGCCACAAGGGGATTTTTATTCCTCCTTGGATTCGAACCTGGGACCTCCAGGCACTTTTGACCTTTGGAGTCCAAGCTCAAACAATCGGGCACCACCCTTTAGCCCAGAGTGTTCGATATTTTTAAACCCACAGCATTTGGTTTTTCATTCCAAGCTGACCACACTTGTAAAAACAAGGTCAAGAAAAATGACTTGCAAGTATGAGAGATCATTGACAAACTACGAAAAATATAAATCCAAAAGCAACCTTCATACTCGACACTTTATGTCTAAATATTATTCATCTTCCAAAATCAGTGTTCTTTTCGCATTTTCAAATACAGTAATTGACACTAAATTACTCTGAAGTATGCACCATCTAAGGGGTTGTTTGGCAGTTGTCAAATGGTTTGGTGCAGAATGATTAAGTGGTCAGAATGATTAAGAAACTCTTATAATATAGTGCAAAATGAAACATAATTGTTTGGTAATTATTCAGAATGAAATTAGGGTGCCGAATAGCTAAGGGATGCCCAAGATACAAAATCATTCAGATGGTTTTAGAACCATTAAGAGGCAAACTTTTTTTTTTGCCAAACAAGATTCACCTCTTAGCGATTCAGAGGTTGCCTCTTAATAAAACTATTAAAAGGTAAACAAACAACCCCTAACTTTGATTTTCTAGGACTAATGTAAATTCTGTTCAGTTTTTTCATTCTTAAGAGTAATGAGATAAAAACTATAAGCGATTGTCTGAACTTGACTTATCGTTACAAAGAAACCATCATTCTTACAAAAAACTTAAAAGGACACTATACGTCACAACAATGAGGGGTTTTGGAGAAAAAAATGTCAAGAAAGATAGTCTGCTCGGCTTCTCATGCTGCCGTAGAGGTGGATGCGGCACTCTGTGCACCAATTTAGTTTCATATAACATCTAATATAGCAGAGTGTCATATCCACCTCTATGATTAGTGTAGAACGAAGCATTTGAAGAACGGTTAGAACCAAATAACAAGATGAGTTCATGTGTGTTTTTCATTTAAAAAATTGAATCATGTATTTGATGCATGAAAAGAATTTGTGGGTGTGAATACACCGTGCGATGAATATCAGTTATCATGTATTCGCGGTTCGACCGTTTTGTTGGCTAATGCTTCCACATTATAAAGGATCAGTGGTAAAGCCCAGGGGTATATGGAAATGGTTCATGGTTCCCCAATGCTTTGCAAGACAATAATACAAGAAGAAAACGGGAGTTTGATTAAAGTCATTAGAAATCTAAACTTAATGTAGTATTGTTGCCCCTGGTTTTTCTGAGTTCAATTTTGGCCATAAAGCAAATGTGATAATTGATCTGTATTGTAGAGTCCACATCCGCTAGAATTAGACTATTTTTGTACTCAATATGTGGAACCTCTTCTCTCCTCAAGGGCTCATTTGGAGAGTAATGTAATGGGATTCCACACATTCTCACAATGTGGATTCAATGAGATCCATTACAAAGAATCCATTTACAATTTTTCTCGTATTTCTTGGGTTGGTTGATTTTCTGTTTAGTTTTTCAGGTCTTTTTGTGTTCCGATCTCATCCCTGTGATTTAATTTTCAGAACTTGTGTACCCTTGTTATGCCGATCTAAGACTACAAGTTCGAACAGAACAATTACCCTTACCTTTGTAACGCAGTAGTAATTCTTCCCAGCTTCCCATATCCTACGACCAATGATATATTCTCTATCACTGCAAAAAAAGGGGAACTGCATATGTAGGAATAAAAGTAACCTGTTAGATTACGAAATGTTGGTACCTGTATGCAGGAGTGACTACCTACTTATTCAGATGTGAATCAATGAATGTGCATGTGCCTACTGCCTACAGAACCTTTTTTATCCAGTGGACAATCATCGTCCCAGTATGAGGACACTCTTCCAATATCTTGAAGTAAGTCAGCATCGGATCCCATTTAGGTCGAAACTCGTCATCCCAGAAAAAATCTCTAACTAACTCAGGTGTTGCATCTTCAAAAACAGTTCTGCTACGGTACACAACAGGGCCAGTCTGATAAAATCAAAGAAAAGAAAAATAGGTGAAAAAGGAATTAAACAAGCTCTCAATCCTCAAATATGAAGTTAAACACAGACCATTATACTGTCACAGTTATTTATTTGGCTATGGTACATGATCCCACCAATTTTAGCTCATCAATCCTACTTTGCAGCCAAAAAAATGTATTTAATTGACGAGAACCCCTTAGTATAATGATATCATGTTAATGCTCATTAATGGCAGCTTTTGGCTGGAAAGTAGGAGCAATGAGCAAAATGTTATCGGAGGATGAAGTACAGAGGCCAAACGGATAACTCTAATAGTGAAGCGACCAAAATTTATTTTATTCATCCGTACAAGGGTGAAGAGACGAGGTAGTTTTGGCCCACTTCAGACCATAAGGTAGAGATACCAAATGGCCTTTGGCCTAGCGGTATGTGAGTCCTTGGCCTCCTACGAGGTCAAGGGTTCAAACCTCACCAAAGGTGAGGAGGGTGTGTGATTTTATTTATTCTATTTGCCATATATAAATATTATATACTTCAAAAAAGAAGGTAGAGATGAAGGAAAAAAAGAAGCAACAGGCAGTTTCTTTTTCATAACTGTGTGCAAGTTTAATGTAAAATGTGGAAGCTTTAGCCTCCACTCTTAAAAAAATTAGACGTTATAATATCATTTACTTATGTTACTGTTACATTGATCAATTTTACTGATATCAGCTTAAAGGCCATGTGTTTATAACATTGGAAGCGACAAGATTTACTATTGTGAACACCTAATACAAAGTAGGCATGTTCACTCTAAATAGAAGTACATATTGCTCATACATAAACCTTGAAAGCACGAGATTGAAGCTCTTTTGTGATTCTATATCCAAATTCCATGGATCTAGAACGCATATGAGCAGGAACTCTATTTGAGTTAGACGGCTAATATCCCTAGGACACGCATAAAATATGCAGCAAAACTTGGACAACCAAAAAATAGCCTGTAGACAAGATGAGTGTAGCAGATATGTGTATGCTCATGTCATATCTACCCGATACAATCACTTACCGTTGCTATGATCAGTTTCCATGCACACATTTATACCAAATACAAGTTTTTGGAATGCGAAAAAAAAGAGTTAAAGAGAACATTTTAATGAAATTAATGTCAACATTTACCTCCGGCTCATAGCGCCAAGCTTGACAAGCCATGTTGGAGGTGGAGCGTTCCATCATACTCTGCCAAACTGCATCCTTACCATCAAGAAGCTGCAACAAATATTCTAGATCCTTCTCCGTGACAACATCATGGTCTCCTCCTGAGTTTACAATGCTGCACCTGTGAACGGAGCAGAATTAAATGATTTGGTGGAATTGAGTGATCTAGACAAACTCAGATACCAATAACTTAATTCAACCAACCACAGGCAAACACAGCAAGTCTTTGACCACTCCAATTAATATCCCACTATATAAACATGCTGCCCAGCAAAGTAAAGTAAAGAATAAACAATCAAATTATATCACACAAAAATTAGTTTGACCCAATAAACAATCGTTATCACATTTTTAACATAGAGCTGGCTTCATATGGTATGTCACTTGAAGCAGGATGCACTTCATATTTGTATTAAGCAGTTTTCAGCAACAGTTGAATGATCAATAGATTTCCTATCTAAAAAGGAAAAAAATACACAAATAAACTACTTCTTCCCCAAGGAAATAAGTAAAAAGAGCTAAATTAGAGGCAAGTCATAGGCAATTTCAATCAACAAAAAATAACAAAAGGATCAACATGTGCTAATCCGTTTTGTGACAGGAGAAGAACACTGGAAAGAATTAAATCAAATCAAATTTGACGAGAGAATATCAAGATGATTACACCACCAATTAAACATACTCAACTGTCATCCCTTACAGTGAGGAAGATAACACCAAAAACACACTCGAGGAAACTGCACAAACATTTTATCACTAATGCAGTGAGTAATGCAAAAGCAGGAACCAAAAAGAACCAGAAACTTGATCAAAAACAACTAAGTAAGTATGCCACTTACAGAAATAAGGTAAAAGATAGCAGTTATAAATTATTTTTCTTCTTTCCAATCAGTAGAAAACCGATAAATACTTGGTTAAACTTTTGAAAATAATTAAGTCATCCAAAATTCCTAAAGAAATAGTAATGTACTGCAGAAGATTCACATGACTGTGGAGTGTGTTAAACAGAATCATCTCCAGAAAGAGAGAATACAGAAACAACATTTTTTCAAATTAGTTGGCTATGATCAGTCATCGGTCATGAATATAAGAAAGAGAGGAAGGACCAGAGAAGACAAGGTTAACATATGGTCTGTAAAGCAAATAGAAAGTTACCTGGCATCTTTCATTTAAGAAGCACAAGTGGGGTTGGACAGATATGGTAGCAACACGTCCAATATCTCATGGTAATATTCAAAAGATCAGCATCTTGATGTCTGATGTAATCTACTTGATTATAGTTTCCAATTACCCTCAAGTGACTATGGGATGGTCGGGTTGTGTGACAATGAAAGATCATGCTCTGACCATCAGCAACGTCCAAAACATATCTATAATGTGTTTGTATTGGCATAGAGGATAGAAAGGAAAGAAAAGAGGGAGAAGGGATAACATCCATGTATTGGACGAGTAGAAAGAGCACAATACGGCAACTCTGGAAATTATATCAAGTTCAAGCAAGAAAACTTTGACCAGATAGCTTTTGCAGCAGAACCAAAGAGAAATATTGTAATGGGAAATAAAGAAAAAGCAAATGTTAAGTCATAAATTATAATACTTCTAGAAGCTTAAGTTACATGAGTAGGCTTCAGTTTTGAGCAGGTAATAATTATGTTCGTGTTGGTCAACCAGAAAACAGAAATCTATAATCTTCAACATCAGAACTCTCAGAGAAGAGTTGAGAAATCAAATCTATGTAAGCGAAGAAAGGTTAGCAGAGAAAAAGATGGCAAATAACAAACAAAGGCTGCACAGCTAATAGCCTAATACCATAGCAAATTTTGCATCTTTGGCAACTGACCAAGCAGAAGTCTTTGCATGACATGTGATTTACCTCAGCAACTTAAATCAAATCAAGAATGAGTACCTGATGTTAAAACAATGACCCTACATGTTGAAGTAAGAGCTATATTAGAATTGAGTCCACTAACCCCTAGTTATATTGGCCATATAATTACTTTCGCATTTTGTTTAGTGCATTTAGCTCCAAGACATAATCATTTTTATTAGATTCCACATTCAATATAATCAAGCTTTCAGATCCTTAATAGACGGTACCATGGTTCTAGCTTACAACTTCGTATCCAGCATCTGAAAAGTCTAACTGAACAGTCCTCATTACTTCGTGCCACAACTTGGAGTCTAGCTACTTAGCCGTCTCGCGACCCTAACCAGCCAATGCATTTCGCAGTTGATGGCCATAATAGTTAGAGCTTCAGACTTCCATTTATTTTGTTTTCCTTTCTGTTCTATTCAGCTGGCATCATCTAGATCCGGTCTGTTCTGCCAATATGCAGCTTCTGAGACCCCTCTCAAGCTTTGCAGACCTGATTACAATCTTACTCTGCCGATAGTAACTTTCCTAGGCTTCACCGACCCTGTCTCTGGTCTGCCTCCAACAAGGCTTAAGAAGTGCATCTACCCTCGTAGGTTCAACTACCTGCTATGCTGTAAAAATCGCGATATATCGTCGATATATCGGCGATATATCGGATATCGGCCTTAAAAAAAATATCGGTTCGTAAATATCGCCCAAAATATCGTTCCCGATAATATCGGCGATATTGTCCGATTTTTTCCCGATATTTACCGATATTTTGAGGTAAATATCGACCGATATATCGATATTGTTTAGGGTTCGATTTTTTGGGCTTCTCTCATTTTATAGGCTTAGATTTTTTGGGCTTCTTTTATTTTATGGGCTTAGATAAGTATAAGTTAGGTCTCAAAAATCTTCTACCATTTCCTTCACCGCTTCACGACAACGGTCTGCTTCCATTCCCTTTCTTTTTCATCTTTACGACTCGAGGAAAGAACCGAGTAATCGACAGCAACCAGCAACAACAGCAAGTCAGCAATCGACAGCAAGTCAGCAATCATCTTTTCTCGTACGAGTAATCGACAGCAACAACAGCAATCGACAGCAAGTCAGCAACAGCAACAGCAATCGACAGCACCTGAGTTCCTTGGTGATGATCATCATGTTGGAGATGAAGGGGACGAAGAGGAAGATTGGGAAGCTAACCTAAACGTAGAAGTGAATGTATTGGATGATGTTGACTCGGATGCCGAACCTATTGCTTGCGATTAGCTTGTTTTTGAACACTTTAGATGATGTGATGTTTTATTTTAATTTTGAAACTATATTTCTAAACTCTAATTAATGCATATTATATATATAATTCTAAGAAATATTATGTTAACCGATATTTCCGATATATCAACGATATATCACCGATATAACCGATATATCGAATATCGGTCCTGACCGATATTTCGTATTCTGACCGATATAACAGCATAGCCTGCTACAAGCATCATCCTAGCATAGAGGGAAATTGAGGTTGTATATGATATCAGAGCACATTATTCCATATGTGCATGCACATATTACTCACATGCATGGCCCATACAAAAGACAAGTAATATATCTGTTAAGCCTTAACAAAACGACGACACAAGAGGGGCATTCAATATCTTTCTTTAATTACAAGATCAAGATTAATTTATCTCTATATAATATTTCTTGAGATTAGCAATCCAACACAAGTACAAGTATGTATAATCTGGGCAAAAATCCATCAGCAGCAAGTTGGTTTAAGTTGGAATCCCAAAGATCTGATGCTAAACAATTAATGCAATGGTGAAAAAGTGACAGTGAACTCTAAGAAAAAAACCAATGTACGACCTGTTTCAGCTAATCAGAAAGGACCTACCTTAAGACCTTCGATTTCACATTGCAGATCACAGTTAGGTCCTTGTAGCAGTCCACATGAAGTCAATGACACATTATTCGTCCAGATTGCTTAGACTTTCATGTTCCATTTTTTTACCATTTATTAAAGTTTCATTTAGCAATAGGTGAATGAAGAACCACTTGCAGCCAAGAGTATCACTGAGACCCTTCAGTGTAAAATGGTATTAAGAAGATAATTAGACTTGAGAAGAGCAAAGAGCCATATAAGATGATAAGGTTAATGCCAAGAGATCAGGATGGGAAGCATGCTCACACAAAAAACAAATGTAAAATCACTTCATATCAGCGAGAGCATATGGTATTTCCTAATGGTACAGATACCAACACTATCACACTAAATAAAAGAGACTGGTATTTCCTAGTGTTACAGATACTACCACTATCACACTAGATAAAAGAGACGATATACTTCGTAATAACATTAAAGATCCTAAATATTCAGTTATTCACCAACCTAAATTACTCGAATCCTAAATCTCCTACTATTCTTGCTAATGGTAAAATATACATCTCTCTCTAATTAATAAGTATAACCCAGATAACAAATATTGTCTTAACCAATCACTTCAAATCTGATGGTGTGATTATGGTAAATACAAGCAAGATCATACATATACACAAACCAACTCTAACTAGGTTATTTATGGAACCGGCATTAAGCATGCAAGCATAGCACATGTTAAATACTTTCTTCCCACATCACCACCAAAAAGAAACACTAATAAAAGACAACTACATTGTTGGATAGGATGGAATTAATTTCCCACAATTACAACAATCTACCTAATTTAATTAGTTTACCCAGTTTACTATGTGAATATATGTCACTATTACCAAATGTGTGAAACCACACCGCGCCCAAACGATTGGACTGTCGCATAGTGCATAGGTGAAGCCATTCAACCTTAAGCCCGTCACTTACCAAAACTAGTAACCTCCTGGTCAAAACACATAACAGAACCAACTGGCAAGTGGTTCAACGAGTCAGCCAGGTTTTCTATTAGAAAAGCTCAAACTGTTTCTTCAGCATTTACATACAGAGAAGCCTACCAGTTCTACGGATTAAATTAAAACCCCTCTTATATCTATTATGCTCTCATAAAACAAATTTTAAATGCAATGACACACAGTTAGTGCCAACTAATCCTTCTCCGTCTCTCCAAACATAATTTAAGGCATAAGAATGAAAAGAAAGAAAAATAAATAAACAATATAGTGTAAATACTGTTCTTATTACAAATGGTCTATGTAATTAATCATCAATTATTGCAGGTTCCAACATTTTCAGCTTTTTATTCTACGCACAACCTCCGAGCATGGATAAAGGATCATTCAGGTACATAACCTTAAATAGGATTTTAACTAAATCGACGACCTCCTGGCTTATTAAAGAAAAATGGCTCCATACTCATAAGAAGGTCATGTATTTAATTAAAATCTCATTTTAAGGTTATATACCTAAATATACCAAGAATAGATTACAACTAAGCCACAAGTAATCCAGCTTGAAAGTGGAACATCATGCTAAGACAGTATACAGGCACCCATCCATTAACCACATGAGCGCATAGCCGCATACAATAAATACACAAATTCACATTGCATACAGCATGCACACACAGATTCTCAAGTCTTTCCTCCAAACTAGGTGGGAAAGCTGAAAAACGCTTGGAAATATAAATGACCTAATAATATCCCCGAAACACTAGAAAAAAGAATAGGATCCCTAAGCGTCTCGGCACGTCCGCCGATCTGAACCCCTCTCCTGCACTACACCAGTATCTGATATATTACATGACCATACCCCCCATGTTAATCTTGGCCTACCCTACCTCACCTGACTCCCACTTCATGATCCAAGTTTGCTCTCATCTAAGTATATAAAAGTCAGCTCTCAAGATGTTACCATCGCAAGTAATATTACCATTCCCACCCCCACCGCCCCCTGGAGACTCTCAAAATTAAGCCTCTATGTCCACACATCCACCTTAATTTTCGTCTATCAGTACAAAATGTTTCCTGTTGAATAGCCAAGTTCTCACCATACAACATAGTAAGTCTTAACTGTGAAGCCGACAGAACAAAAACAATTTGAGTTACCTAGTAAAAGTCTGGAGTGCAAGAGGAAAAAACTAAAGCACAATATACTCCGAAGCAGAAGCTCAAATACGGTGGCAAGAAGAATTAGAATCCTACTGCAACATTAGCCATAACTTGTGTTTTATCTAAAAGCTTAGGGCCCAATTATGTAGTGCTTACTAATTGCAATCTAATAATATACACGAATAAGGTCAAATATATCAAAGACTCCATAAAAAAAAAGAAACAAGTACACGGAATAAGTTACACAAATACGAAGTCACCATGTAGAAACAAGCATCCCTGTATTTTATTAGCACAATCTTGTATTGGCATAGTTACTATTAAAGATTGTTTCCACATCAAAGGGAAATTGCCTAAATATAAAATATTAACATAATGGAGATGGTCTCATAAAATTGGGGTAAGCTACATATCCTTCATTATATTTTCCTCAGTTTTGAGGCAAGTTATACAGTCAAAATGAATCTAGTGGATCATCCTTGTATTTTATTAAGGTGCCCCACATGTTAACTACCACAGCTTCCTTCGCATATGATTACCTCCGAAACTAGGCCCAAAACTTCTAATATATCTGCTCTATTAGAAACCTAAGCTTTCAGGAAATTAATTTTCAGTATGTAAAAGTTAGCTAGTAAATATCAAGACGGCGCAAGAGAAAAATCATGCTGCCTCCACAAACTGGGAAATTTTCCATGGTAGAGGTGCCTCACATCTGCAACCTTGCAAGTCAAAAACTCGCTAAAATCATGGAACCAATATTATACATCCAAAGGATATCTAACTTCTCTTCCTACAGCTACATGGTCAAGTACACTACCCAAAAACTGCAACCAGATAAATTAGCTGTTCAAACCCTGACTGCAACGCTTAAGAGTACTAAATTATCAGCTACAATGGATCATACGTAGTCCGACCCAAACTTGATTAAACACAGGGGTCCAAAAATTTTGAATGAGCACACACGAGTTTTGCTCCTACAAAGAGGTAAAATCACTTAAGAAGGATTACACCATTAGCAACCCTAATTACAATCAGAAATTATCATATAGAAAGAAATATTCCAATAGGTAGACCTTCAAATCACATTATAACCAAACAATCTTGCATAAACTCACAAATAAGACCCTAAACAACCAACCACACTTGCATAAACTGTGTAACGTACCCAAAAAAAAACTTTACATGAGCTATATCACGTATCACGTTAGGAAAAGATATCAAGAAGGTAAAGTTCAAGAATAAATTATACTAACTTGATGTCAACGCCACTTTCGTCAACGTACTGAAGGGCCGGCAACGACTCCCCTCCCTCCACCGCACGCAACGGCGACTGGTCATCCTTCCGCTCCTTCTCCCTAAAGTTTGACCACAGCCTGCGGCCAACAGAAAACGCAGAAAGCGCGGTGAAGGCTAGCCAGAGGCGGCGAGCACCAAAACCTGGTGGAGCCGTCCAAGCGAACCCTCGCAACTTCGAACGAAAACCTAAAAATACAAGGCTGGTCCACCGTGGCGTCCAGGCCCATCCGATCACAACCCCGACCATCACCGCCACCCAAATCGGGACCGCACAAAAGAAAATGTCGACGAATGTTTCGATCAAAGCCGGTTTATTGATGAAATCCATCAAATTAACGAAGTAATTTTGATCCTCCATAAATCCGATCACTTGATCAGTTGATCAATTATTAACATAAATACAATACGTGATCGACTTTGGAAGAACCGTCGGAGTTCAAATCCAATCGGTGCCGGAGTAGGATTACAGAAAGAGATACGAATTAAAGATAAGAGAGATAGGGGAAAGTTAAAAAAGGGATAGTACGGAAATATGACGTGGCAGCCGGTGAGTTTATTTGAAACTTCAATGGCGCGTGAATTACACTCGCAGAGGAATACATGCTGATTTAAACGGAAAGTGGCCTACACGCGGATGAAAGTCGCGTGGAGTGTCGGTGCAGCGTAGAAGTTTTGAGTTTTAGAAGATGCCTTTATACCCTGGACATGGTCCCCAATGGAGTAGGTGCCTTCTTAAGCCCCCTTCTTCAATTGTACAACTTTTAATGCCCAATGTACAAATGCTTTTGATCCAATATATTTTCATTTTGTGTTGTCCCTTGTGAAGTTCTTATGCTCGTATAAGGTTGGTTGCATTATTGGATTTTTGATTACCGTATAAGTCATTTAAAATACTTATTGTAATGTTCGGTTTTAAATTTATTGATTGGGTTTCGAAATAAATAACAATGAAATATTTAAGGGAAAAATCTTATAGTTAATGGAAGTTGAGGGACCAAAGGTGAAGTAATGCCACCTGACTTGTGATTTAAAATGTTTGGTCCAATTAAATGGTTGGATTTTTTTTTGGTTTTGAGAGGCCTTCACATAGGGGGAGGAGGTAGAGTGCATGACTATGTATTGCCTCACCCTCCTCTCCTTAGAAGTCATATATAGCTTGAGAGGAAAAGGGAGAGGGGTGCTAGTGGTTTTCATTAAAAGAAGAATGAAAGATTTGGATAAAGGTTCAGTGAGATATCGATTGATATTGGACGAGGTGAGCTTTTACAAAGCTTTTGTAAAATACGTGTTATTACCTTTCACGTGATTTACTTTGATACATGAAATTATGTGATGTATTTGGATTCAAAAATTATATATGTTAAGGGGTGCTCATCGCCCAAGCATCGGGAGATGAGGGGGTGCTCATCGCCCAAGATTTGGGAGATGAGGAAGTGTTCATCATCTACGCTTGACTAGGGAGTTTATTCATCATTTAAATCTTGATAGTTGGAAGGTTAACTGCGATAGATGGCGGGGCATCCGCGATGGTTCTATTAGTGAGATCAGAACTGAATTCATTAACATTTTGACCTATTTGATGCGATGAGTTATATGAGAATGTGTTAAATAAGTTATTGGGTTACTTGATACGACAAATTTGTAATGTCTCATCTTTTAGATGGGACATAAGAGGTTTGTTATATCAAAAGGTGGTATATGTGTTATTACTTCAGATATGAGTTTATAATTGTGTTTGGTGGTTATTCACTCTGTAATAGCAGGCAAGAAGGGAATTCACTCACTAGATCTTTCGGTCTAACCCTCATTTTTTGTGTTGTAAATGGTGCATTACAGGTTAGGTAACCTGATGATAAGGGAAATGAAATTTATGAAGAGATTATATGATTGTCTGCATGTGGATATTTGGGATAATGTGTTGTAATTTGTACCTGCATGCTACTTATAAGTTCAGGTTTTGTATAGAGATTTTGGAAGAAGAAAGTATTTGGTAGGTTCTTTTGGGACCGAGTGTGAAAAGTTGTATTTCTTGTTACATGATTACATGAGTATATGTAAATGTGAAACCTGGGGTATTTCACTTACAATCCAAGTGAAAGTCATATCAAAGGAGGTTCGTGAAAGGAGTCTCATGAAAATATGTCATATAACCATAAGACTCTTCTAAATTAAAAATAGTTAAACATGGCATATTCATAACATTGAGAAAGTTGCATGGGTCTTCTTTACGAATTCAAATAATGGGTCTGTGTATTTTCACCCAATTGAGGTTGTGCCATTATGTAGCTACACACCTTTTCAGCATTCCTTTTTTTGTTGAATATTGGTTGGTTATTGTATCCTAACGCATTACAACCACAAGTACTTAAGATAATGTAACTCGGATTTAAGACTCCCTTAACTATCTTCAGCCAAGTTAAATGAGACCTTTCACAAGCATTTCATGGATTTTCTGTAAAGACAAAGATAGGATTTTCGATCAAGGTGGGATATTAGAGCAACTTTTTGTTTTAATCCAAAAGGGCTTTGTGACATCATGTCCATCTAGGCTCATGAAACGAATTTCATGAAAGTATGTTGTATCATCAAAAAAGCTTCTAAAGCATATATAGTATAACATAGCCTATTCATAACATTGATAAATACGAGTCTTATTTACAAATTCTTAGACTATTGGACCTTTTTCTATTATTAAATGTAAGCCTAGACCAATCCTAGTTATTATGTGGCCTAACCCATGCTTTTTGCCATTCCTAATTTGATGGGGTACTAGTTGGCCACCATATCCTTACATATTACAATCACAAGTTCTAACACCCTTGAATTTTGAAGTTCATGTCTCAAGTCGTTTGTAACTTCGTTAAGCTTAAAACTCAATATTTATTTGATGTATAGTGGCTTTAATCGTCTACTTGTGTTCGGAGATCGAAAATGGGATTTTTGCATAAAAATAGAGTCTACGCGACTTGGCATGCGACCATGGGATGCGTCTAAGGTCTCATGGCTCTTTGTGGTGTCGAAGTAGGGGCTTCCATGGTTAAGTCTACAGCCTTAGTAGAGGCCAAGACCGTGTGTGACACTAGAGAAGGAAATGGGGCATGAACAACCCTAAGTAGTGGGAAAAAGTCATGCGGACCAGACCTGGGCGTATAAAGCCCCTATTTATCCTTAGGATTCTTAGTTTTTCTCTTATGTCTTCTTCTCTTCCATAAATACGATGGTTGGATCTTTAATAGCATACTTGAAGGGTTCTTGAGGTCGTTAAAGACTAAGGATTCAAGTGGAGATCAAGATTCAAGTCTACTTTTAAAGATCTTGGTTCTTTACTTGGTTTTTAGGTTTTATCTAAAATCTAGCATTATGAGTTCATCCTACTTTGTAAAACTATATACATGTCAATATACTCTCGTTTTGAGTCTTAATATGTTTTTCCCACATGAATCTTGCACTAACCTTTAGTTATTTAGTTATATGGTCATATTCTAATGTAAATAATGATATGAAACCTTATGAGTGATTATCCTAGTTTTGGGAGCATTTCTTTTTTGAACATAAAAACCAAAAGGGACCCTAAATGTTGTCTTGTTGAGTCTTCTCTTTTGTAAATGATGTTTCTTTTCCATAAAAATGAGATGAAGTATACTTTGTGTAGTTGCTTCAACCAGTAAACCTTACATTCTTTTGATTTAGGCATCTTATTGGGATACTGGGAGTATCTAAGTTTTGGGTTGTTTAATATGCCTTGGATAATATGTGTATATTTACATTTCCTCATTATTTGATTTACACGCTATCATGAAACTGTTTGATCTTATATGATGTAAATTTCCAAGTTTGGTGTTCTTATGTTATAACTCATATGCATGAGGGTTAGAGGCTTGTGTTGTCAAGTAGATTGTGCTTGTACCTATCTTGAATACTAGTAAGTATCCATTGGGACACTTGAGGTGACACTTAACTAGAGAATGAGTGAGCACTAAGATTCGTTAATATTTGGGGTGGATTATGTAATAGACACAAGTGACACCAAGAGTGGTGTGCATTGAAGTCACAAAATCTAAGGTGTAAACCAACATCGTTATGTACCAATACTTTTGTGTTACCGCTATTTTTTGTGGAAACGGGTCTCCCCCGTTATCGTAAGATGTTGATTTGTATAACTTTGCCATGGATTGGGATTTTTGGAAAGATGCACCTTTATGACTAAATATTACCATTTGTGGTATTTGTTATTTTGATTACATCTTTCTCTATTGTCTCTTATACTTGCAAGATAAGCTATTTGAATTCACTAGGCGTAAGTCTAACAACTTTCTTGTTGTCATGTATATCAGGTCCACTAGCAGCGGGCCTAGGGACGTTTGAGGCTCAATGTTCGCTGTTATTTAGAGGCACTGGTTAATTGTGTTTTTGATAACGACTTTTGAAGGTTTAGTAAACATCCAGTTATAATCTACTTCTTTCAAGATCAACATACTTCCTTTTTGTAAGTTAAAATTCGTATTTTATTAATTGACTATCAAAGTTTTTGTAAGTTGTTCTTTCCTTAAATTTTTGGAGGTTATGCAAGTACTACTTCAAGTTTTAAACATAACTTGTTGTGAATCAGTCATAATAAAATAAATTAATACTGCTTTCGACAATAAACATAAAAGTGCAGCTTATTGCCTAAAAAGCTAAATAAAATTTTATAGAATAAATAACAATCAAATATTCACAAACAAAACAAACCCGGAAAAGACCCTAATAAATTCTTTAAAAAAAATTCAAAAATATTATATAATCAAATAGTTATAAAAAAAAGTATTTGCAGGATTAAAACACGGAAATATTTTTATATTTACCTAGAAAATCAAATTTATTTACTTACATAGATGATAAAAGTTGAGCACAATCAATCTAGTTTACTTATAAATTATAGAGTTAATTACACATTCAGTCCCTCGTGAATATTTTTTTTTTTTTATTTTCGTCCATCGAAATTTTAAAGTACACTTTTGGTCCAAAAATCTTGTTTCAAAGCCCAAATAAATCCCTCCTATTAAAATCGTTAGATGCGGCTCTATTAACTCTATCATATTACATGTACCCCTCTTATAAGGGGTAGTTTGACCATTTTACCCATCTTCATCTCAAGAACATTATTCTCATTGCCGCCATCCACCATTGTTCTAAAGCTCCACCCACCACCATCGACCACTCACCGCCATCATCCACCAATTACTGCTATCATCCACCAATTACTGCTATCATCCTTCATTTGCCACCCAAAACAAAACCCTTATGAAAATTCAAAACACAGAAACCCCAATATTTAAATCTAAGTCAAGAACATTCATACAACTCAAATAAAACCATATTTATATACAAAAATCATAACAATCAGATAACAAGTTCATAAAAAACAGAACATTCAAAAACAATCATAAAGATCAGATTTA